TGGAAATAGAAATTGCACCTGGTTTCTTCCTGTGACAGTTTCTAACAAGCCTCTTGTATTAATAATCAGGGTGTAACTCACACTTCCATGACAGGACAATGCTCTTTAGTTTGCCTAAGATGATTCTATACCATCAGTGGGCTCTAGCTAGCAAATTGTCCAGGGAACTAAAGTTAGTGATTTTGGCTGACAAGTATTAATTGAACATGGTTTATATATGTGAATGGCAATAGCCAATAGAGAAAGGTTTGCATGCAGCTGCTTGGGACAGGGCATCAAAAATCCCAGAAAAGATGGAGAGAAATGGCCTGTGTGGAAGCTAATGTTCTCCATGCCCATAACACTCAGCACAGACTTAGGGGCATTCCATGACTTTGGATTGTGTCACCCAATCTCATGGTCTGGATGAGATAAATGATGATGACAATTCACACATGTTTAGTACTTTTGCTTTTTTAAAGAGCTAGTATTAAACAGCTGTAGCAAATTATGTGGATGTCAGGGAAGGATCATGGCCTGTCAGCACCCAAAGACAGACAGCTCTGAGAGGGGGCAGGAGAGAAGGTTTGGGTGCTGTTTGGGATGTCACTGAAAGTCCACTCTGAATCACTCCTTTAAGCTTCAAAATGATTAAAGGGATCAGTAATAGTTTGTCACACAATTGTATTGCCTTGTCTCTCGAAACAGAGCAAAAATCCATCTTTTGCATAACTGTGTTAAAGCCAGTTAAGTAACATCAATAAAAAGTAATAGATTTGATCTTCCTGCACTATGGGAAAAGATAGAATTTGAGTTTAGATTTGTTTTTGGCAATCATGTTTCTTCCTTAACTCAAAATTAGTCTATAAGCCTCACCACGGGGAAAAGAATTTAAGGTATTAATTTGGTTTAGACTCCACCTTTTATTTTTGTTAAGTTTTCTATTGATATGATTGGAAGTTTTTTCACTACTTCAATTAAGGATCCTCATTGTCTGGACATTAAAATATGAGACTATAAAGTAAAAATACTGTGCTACCAGACAGATCTGGGTTGCATGCTCTGCATTTGTATTTTGTCATTTTTAAAATGTGGTAATTACTGTCTTCAAAAACTAGATGTTGAATTTACGCAATGTGCTTAGACTGTGAAATATTGTGTGAGTTTTAGGTACTGTGATAGTCCTTTTCCTGTATTCACTTCTTCATGAACAGAGTGTCTATACTACAGCATTGGTACATTTTTAATAGTAGGCGTAGAAGATATCATCAAAGTGAAAACAAACATGCTGTCTCAGCATTACTTTAGGGCACAGTGCCAAGGAATTGGATGGCCTTAAACCCAGTTTTGAGAATTGGATTGCCACATTTTTCCTGGGGTTTCCTGGACACCCACGTGATCTCTCATGCTGCATGAGCAAGGCTTCCTGAGAGCTTTGGCCCTCCTGTGTGGGCATGCAGTGCAATTGGGCAGCACATGTGCAATAAGCCTGATACTTCCCAGAAGTGTCCTGGTGTGCAGTGTACACACTGTAGATCCAGGTTAAGCATTTCCATGAAAAATGTACACATGCATAGGCATGTAGCCTACAAGTAGTTCCATTAAGCCTGTTTGTGTATATTACTGTTGAAGTCTAAGGAATTGACTCTCTTGGTGGAATTCTGACTATTACTGAGTACCTGGGTGTTAATGGAGCATATATTGTAGTGTTTAAAACTATGAATGGGCTGAGGTTTGATGACAGCTAAATGAACTCACTCTAAACAAAAGTGAACTTCACTTTGTGATTCAGTGACTATAGGATTAACTGCTATCAAATGCCACCCAGTGCAAGTGTATGTGGTATCTGCTTTCATAGTTCTTCAGAAATTAGCCTAAAGTTATCAGAAAAGGTGTTGATGTTTCAAGCAAATCTATCTCCAAGAACACTGAGCCTGTTACGTTTAGTAATCAAACAGAACTTTGTGATCTGATCCCCAAATATAATATTAAGTCTTGGACTTCACAGAGTATATTTCATTATTAACAAATTTCGACCTGTTTTGTTCTACAGGGAAGAGAGAATCAAGAAGGAAAAACCAAAGAGAAGCCTTTTTCTTGTCTAGGTCATTTATGTTTAATACAGCTACTGACTGGACAACTTCCAAGATAATGTCGGTCTTTGAATATGAAACATTTGTAGCCGAAGTAGAAGTCACTTGCATGGCAGCTGCAAGAGCAGCTCCATCCCATAGCAGTAGCCAAGGAGTGGCAGAAGGGCCACATCCTTCTATGCAGAGCAGCTATTCATTGTGCTGTTATAAGGAAATATCTATTGGGATCTGCATCCTGTGGTTTCTTGACTACATCTGTGACACTGTGCATATGTGGTGATGACTTTTCAGCATGTGGTGGTGTTCAGTCAGGAGTGTGGCCACAGAAGGTCTCAAGTCCATCAACTATTCCCAGGACCAGTGCTGTGCACATCTACATCTGGCACTTGTGGGGAGCACTGTCACAATTTCAGAATCATGTGTGGGAACTTGCTGAAACTAACCCCTGTTGCAGGACATTAAGTCCCCCAGGAAAGAGAAAGGTATTTTTTGGTGTCCTCTTCCATACAGGTTCCTCATTCTTGCCTTCAAAACCTCTTATGACATGTCTGTCATCAGAGAAATTTCTACAGAACTATTTTTCCCTGGAAGAAGAAAACAACTGTGTCAAACAAAAAGGCATTTTGAGAGAATGTTAGTCCTGCCTAAATTTTACAAAACTAAAAATTATGTGTTCTTGATTTTTTAATAACATATGATAATACAAACACTAAGAATTGTAATCAGCAAGGCTGTTAAACAGCTCTGCAATGTATATTGATTTTGTCTAAATTGAAATTTTTTTCTTCAGCCAAAATCCTGGTCAAGGTGCAGGGGGTGGGGGGGAGGGAGCAGAGATACTTTGTACATTCTTTTTGGGGAAAGGCAATCCAAGTAACCATAATGGTTAATTGTGTTGCCTGTGGTAAAAGTATTCAAGGTTGGACGCACGGCTTTTGAGCTCCTTTGGTCAAGCAAACATCAATACTATTGGACTCTACCCAAGCTATGAATAATGATTGTCTTCTCATACATCATACAGTCTGGGTTTAATCTGGTGTTTTATCTCCTTGATTGTTTCCTGTGAGCTACGTAAAGGAATGTTCCCTGCAGTTTACACTTAGTAGATACACTATACATAGAATAACGTCAGTTTGCCAATGAACAAAAGTAATTGAAGAAAGAGTGCATGCCTTATTTACTATCATTTGCTTTCACATCTATACTATATAAGAAAATAGACTGTCAAGCAAAAATGACATTAGGAAAGTTGCTTGTTCACATAGTATGTGTATGAATTGCATTTCAGGTCCTTCAGAAAAGCAGTTATTATATGTCTTTTATTTTTTCAAATAGATGGTATAAACACACCCTTTTAATATTTGGAGGAGACTAGTCTATTTTTCCCTTTCTTGCACATGGAACTTCCACTAAAAATAAGATAAAAATGAGTCATGCTCCTCTTTTCACTGGGAATAATAGGCTACTCCTATTAAGTGTGCTTTGCTGTTGTCATTCTAGTCTGGAGTTGCAATTGCTTTTTTTCTCTAGAGGGAAAGGTGGGGCAAAAGCAAAGTTAATTCATATTTCTTGGAAGTGTCCTGTTCTTCCCTGATTTTTCTCTATGCACATGATTGTTCTTATTTGTACTGTTATTATTATTGGTAATATTATTATTATTAACTCTTTTTTAGCTGCTCCTGTTAAAAAAAGATGACAACTGATATTTATTTTTTCTCTCATTTTATCAGTCACAGACTTTCCCTGGATTATGCCATTTTCCCACTTGTTGCATTATGTAGGCAGTATTTTTCCAACAAAAAGATGAATGGAGGATGATCTCCTCAGAACCTTATGCCTTTCATTCAGTGTCTCTAATGATTTGGATGAGGTGCTCCCCTCACTCAGGATTTGCAAATACTGCTTGTTCAGGTTTGCCAGGCTTGTGGCCAGAAAATGAATTGTATGTAACTGTATTTTTTTTAAATTTTATCCTCATACAGTTTGCCATTGAAATTTACTTCCATGTGCAAGCCTTTACAGTATTATTAAGTTAAAATCCATCCAAGATAACCTTTAACATTAAATGAACACTGCAGTACATATTGAAACTCTGACATGAGTTGGCAGTAAGATGTTTGTGCGAGAGCATGAACTCAGCCAGAAGCAGCCTTTCAAAATGGAGGGAAATATTGTCAGATGAATGAACAGGTGGCAAGAAATTAATTCATGTGAACTCTTATATAATGTGTATTTGACACTTCTTTATCTGCCCCAGCAGGCTGAATATGAAGAGTTTAAAGATTATCTTTCAGGGAGTATTTAACAACATAATGTTGTTCTAGTTCAGACTTACTTATTTTTTGTCTCAGGTAGTCTCTTATCTCAAGGAGATCATGAAAATCAAACCACTTTCTGCTTACGTAATAGGAACATGTTACTTGAACTGGTTCTGAAACTGGGGATTGACATATAAATTCATAAACTGTAAAGGGATCACAATAAGATAATTAAAGAACTTAACGATCACAAAACCTCTTATTATACCCCATTTCATCTTTAAAAAAATCTGTTATGAATGAAATATTTTATTTTCAAGTACATCTGACTATTCACCTAGTTTTGCAGCAGTGTGGCTTCCAAGATTTCACAAAGTGTATCATCTGCAGGTTATTGTTAATGGAATGTTAAAAGTGCTAGATATCTCACAAAAACATGTTGTATTGCTATTTTTGGAAAGGCTGAAGATTTGGCTGGTGCCTCAGTGCGAAGAGGGGAAGTATGAAGAACATGATTGAAAGTGCTTTTTCTGGATGAATTGGTAGCTGCTGCTTCTTGCTGGTTTACATTGAAAGTACTATACTTGAAAATAAACAATTTCCATGTCTTCAGTGAAGCATTAGGTCTAACAATTTGTAACACCTTTTTTTTCTTTTCCTTTGATAACAGAATTCAATGTAAGCTGCAGATATGGAGGAGTTTTTCATGTTGAGAAAAATGGTCGCTACAGTCTCACACGACCTGAAGCAGACAAACTCTGCAGAGCTCTCAACAGTACCTTGGCAACACTAGAACAGCTGAAGAAAGCTCATGAACTTGGATTTGAAACTTGCAGGTAACGAAATTCTTGAAAAAATAAGATACCATGACAAGTCCATCCATCCATGCTATAGTGTAATAATTACATTTAACTTCCTATAGCTGTTAAGATGGTCATAGCAGTTAAATAAGTTATATTGTGTAATGAACAAAACATCTTTGCGCACGTGTATGTTTGTTCTGGGTCCAGTAATAAATAAGTCCTTGATGCATATAGTTTTTACCACTTATCTTTTAAAAAATCATAACCTCTCACAGATAAAATCTAAAGGTAACAAAACATTGACAGTATAATAAACTAATCAGGAAGATGTTCAGATCATACTGTATCACTGAGTAATGAGTAAGATAAGTATGTGAAAAGTAAGGACCTAATGTAAGGTCAAAGACTGAAGATGGTATATATGGTATACAAAACTCTGTCTTGTCAAGGAAAAGTAAAAAGCAGCAAGTGGTACCACGAGGAATGAACTCTTGGCATCCCATGAAAAAATGGCCACAGTATTAGTGCATCCTTATAATCTGTGAATGGAGAAGTTTCAGAAGACAGACAGTAATTATTAAAAACCCAAAACCACATTGTCAAGTGACTTAATTACCCTCTGTAAGTAATGATGTAATACAACAAAATCTGTAACAAAGATGTCATCAAGATGAAATATTTTCCCTAAGGATACCCTCTGTTTGAATGCTAATCGAGTCGATACAGTCCTGTGGTCTGTAAATACATCAGACTAGATGAACACTTGATCTTGCTTTAAAAATACATAATAAATTTACTATGCACAGTGCTTTGAAAACTTTCTTATGCATATAAGTGTCATACACTGCTTTTGATGACATCCTGTGATGTTCATTTTCACAAGTATTATGGCGGTGAAAGATGTGGACAAAATTGTCAGAGAACAGTGGACAGAGAATTCTTACTGGATTCTTCTGTGAGAAGTGGGTGTAATTCAAAATTGTACAACATAAAAACTATAAACAGTTCTTTACTCTGAGAGAAAAGTCCTTCATAACATAGTAAGCATGTTCTTTTTTTCTGACATTAGCATATGAACATACGTAGCAGTCTGAATTGCCCAGCACTACATAATATGTAGAGATCAAATCCTAACGAATCCCTAGGGGTAGAGATTTCTAGTGCTAGCAATTATGAGTATTCTACAATATGGAAAGTTTTTTCTGAAGTTAAAATATAGAGCTAATTGAAAGAAGAAGATGGATTTTTTTTTTCAGTGGGGAGCTGAATTTTTTTGTTAATTTTACAATTTTCCCTAATTCGGAGTTTACCAGAGGACAAATTTGGATATGTAAGGCATACAGATAGGATTCCTTCCTCCTGGTCAACCCTGCCTCTTACTTTCATTTGTTGATCCTTTGCTAGAGGTTCTTGTCAGTGAGCCTTAGCTCTTATCAAGCTTGAGTAGGACAGGAAAAATATACTGTATATAATCATCAAGATACGTGTCAAATGGTGAGTGAATAAGATGAATCAACAGAGCATAACACAACTAGGTCAATAATATTTTATAAGGTGTCAGTTGGGAGTGTGAGTAAAGTAATTTATAATTCCACCTACAAGAGACTTTCAGAATTACAAGTATCTGAACATTAGACGTGTAACTGGAATGATGTTCATAGATAAAAAACTGCAAAGCTATGACATTTACTCCTCCATGACAAATCATACCTCTCAAGAAGTGAAACAAAACCCAAATCAAGCCCCAGTTCTTATTACAATTCTATCACATCTCCCAGTTAAATACATTAGAATCAATCGTTGCAGGATTGCAAAATAGTAGTAATGCATTGTACCTAGTGTAACTACAGTCCTCACTGAAATATGTGAGCTCTGTACACAATAACCACATTGTTCTACTGAAAGATAGAGTCAGAATTTGTGGATGAATGACTGCTGTATTTGAATATTTTACTAAGCTGTCAGTTTTTGCAGAAAATGATATGTGTTACAATCATTCTTTAAATTTGCTCAGGTACCATAAATTGAGCCCCCAACATTTCACTTCTGTGTGGAATGTCACTGAGCATTATGTTACATCAAAGCAATTAAAATGTGAATCCCCTAAAGGAAAAACAATCCAGTTTTTAGTGTCAGGTAATACAACCTCCCACTGGACAAAAAGTGCACTTGCTTCCCTCACTTTCACTACCTTGCTCTGGAATCAATTGCTCTAGCTAATAAGATGCTTATTTAGTTAAAATGGGTTAAATTCTAGAAATTACTTATGAAACAGTGTTGAGTGGTGGGAGACTGATGTAGCTACCTGTGAGAAAGGAACACCTGAACGAAAAAGGAACAAAAAAGTATACATAAATGCATACACTTTAAAAAAATTATGGCTTCTTTGTAGCTTCTTCATGTTTGAGGTACCATCTGTTATAGTAAGTAATATGGTTTATTTACCTCTGTCCTTCACAGGTATGGTTTTGTAGTGGGGCATATTGTTATCCCACGAATCAAACCCTATCATCTTTGTGCAGCAAACCATACTGGCATTTACAAGCTTCCAGCAAATACAACTGGTCGATATGATGCATATTGTTACAATGAGACAGGTATGTAGGTGATTTCATGATGTATTTTAGAAAGAGATTAACTAAAATTAATATATGTAATCTCCTATTTAAGGTACTGAAGTGAAGGCTTCTATAATAAACATAATCTCTTTTTCAGCTGAGGAGAAATACACTTTTTCAAACTCTGGAATTGTGACTATCAAGCCATTTTGTTATTGGTGTGTTTTGACCTAAACTTTTTTTCTGCCTTTGGGAGTAACTTAGTAGCTCAGAACAGTTCATTATATAGGCTTAGTGAAGTGAACCACTGCAGCAGTAAATCTGAAAGACATAACTGTTGTCAGTGCTGGCATTCAGCTCTTCTGTTCATGTGCACATGAGCTTCTATAGCCAAAAGCAGTTACTTGTGTTAAGGAATACTAGGAGTGGCTGCCACCTGCAGCAGCGAGGGCCATCCCAGGCCTGTGGACATGGCTGCTGCTCTCCTGTTTGTAGGTTCATTCAGTATTTGCTTAGGCAAATCTCTATTCAGACATTAGGCAGCTAGATAGCAATGTGGGTCGGAAGCTGACCACTTTCATCTAAGGTTTTGAACTTTTTAGTAGATGGAAATATTTTATTAAATTACTAGGAAAATGTAGGTAGTCCATGACAGATGCTGAACACAATATTTTAAGATAAAATCTGGACTAACTTCAAGTGGCTTGAGTTTCAGTAGATTGTGACATTCACAGACAGTTGTTACAGAAAGCTGTAGGAAAAAATCATTCATGATTTAGGTAGCAGTGACATCTTCTGATTTCATTCTTGGTAGTCATATAATTAAAAATCTTTGCATTGGCATAGTATGTGAACTGCCATCCTCTGACAGTCGCACATGACTATTCTGCTGCTCCAGTGATGTCCATTACCCTCAGAGCTTTATAACTCCACTCAAGTATTATTCTCTTCCAGCAGTATGATCAGGTAGCTTACACATTGGCCCCAAATGTGGCACTTCAGCCCACTGGAGGAAGTGGTGCTCACCAGACCAGGGCACGCTCTGCCTGTGCAGAGCCCTCCATGGAGAGGGCAGTCTCTCTAGTTAGGGAGGGTTAGGGTTGCCACTTCCACCATGACAATGGGGCTGCCTGCATTGAAACGGGGTCATAAGGCTGTTTTAACTGACATTGACTGCAACTGTTTTCTGGAATGGCTAAGGAAATGGAGAATCTAATCGTTAGCTGACAGAACTAACAATATTGAAGTGTCCCACCTGGGAAGGAGCAAAAAGGGAAAGTAGGTACATCAGTGAATAATATTTGTTTGGAAATTTGTTTCCAATTGTCCTCATCTGAAGCTGATGTTTTGTGATTATGTACAATTAATAGGGGTATATATGTGACTTTTTAATTCATTTTCCCAAATTAATACTTTCTATTTTCCTTCTTTCACAGAAACAAGAGACATAGGGTGTGAGCCAGTCGAAAAACTAAATACTTCTCTCCTCAGTAATCAAGATGAAATAGGTACTGTACTGATTAGAAAGACATGCACTTGCTCAGTTTTTAGTATCTGGTTATCTTTTTTTTACATAAACAAATACTGATATTAAAAAATCAAGCCAAATATAAGAAAAAGAAGTTAAGAGATGTTCAACAGAAATTAAAACAATTAGTCACTTCTTTTTCCGTAAATCTTATGGAGCTTTGTTTGTTTCAGGGTGCTAGCAAACACTTTTTTATATAGGTATTTGACATTTTTAGCATCTCAGAGCAGGTAATATCTCTTTGACACGTAGGACTTGGCTTAAGACAACAACCTTTCTATATCTCATTTGAGCTTTTTGTTAGAAAAGCAGCTGGAAGTGGAAGAAAATGCTCATAATAAATTATTTGTTGCAATTCTAAAATTCTGCTTGACTTTACAAATGCCAAGATTTTATGTTAAAACCAAACTGTTTGATGAAATAAGTGATGCAGGGTAGGCCCTACATATTTGAGAAATATGTAAACTAACATATATACATTAGATGTTTTAGTGAAGTATCTAGACAGGTTAGATAGGATGGCAAAAATGGATGAACTGGTATTAATTCACAAGTGTTTCTCTTTATCTTTTTTGTTGTTGTAGAACTAAAACTGTTTAGCATTACTGAAATATAGCTATGTAGCTCCTTGACAGTAGCTGCTTAATTCCCTCTTTCCACAGTCATTGACAATGCAGATGGCTCACGTTATAATGCAGATGGCACACGTCATACCAGTGGAGAGTCCTCAACTTCAGGTGCAGATGATGAAAATGTAGGTAGTGGATCAACTCATGAGACAACTCCCATGGATATCTCCATCAGGAGATCCAGCCCCTCATATTATGGAAGTGCTACTCCAGTCTCACAGCTGCCAGATCACACTTCTGGAGGGGGTGAAAAAGGAACTCCTGGAAAAGACTATGGTAAGGACAGTAGGTTGCCCTTGAATATAAGTGAGTGAAAGATTACATTGATAGTTAAAGGATATAATGAGGGATTGAAAAGTACCATCTCTAATTTGTATTCAGGAGAAAAAAAAAGAGAGAATGTGTGTCTTTGAAAGAAAACTGAGGCATTCTAAATTTCTAAGGATTTTTTTGATTGCATGTGAGTATGAAGCATATGTAGAGATAAGGATAACATTCTTATCTGTTTTCTAAATAAATTGACATTAAATAATAAGAATGAGGAGGAGTTTACAATAGAAGAGATTTCTCTTTGTATAAATACAGGAGATTTTTTAGGACATCATCTTACTACGGCATATTAGAGAATGCTTAGGGAGATAGATATGTCAAATTAAAATGTTATTGATAACTTCTTTTAGGTGGTAAAGCCAAATTCAAATTTTATGAAGCCCTACCAAATAGAAATGCCATAATCTTTTCTATGTATTTTATTTCATCTTTTATGTTTCTTGTGTGGATGAAATTATCTGAAGTCTGAAAGACTAGCTCCAATTGAAGCTAAGGGATACAAATATAAGTCATTCTCTAAGGACAGTAAAGTTTACTGTGTGACTACAGGCCATTTATCAAATCACTCGTAACTTACCAGTGAAGGATAACAGTATTTTGCATCACTATAATTAAAAATAAAAAAAAGAACAGAAGCATTAGGATTATAAAATCACTCTTCACTTGTGGTATACTCATGATATGTTATGCTTGTTTTTCCATATAGTTAGCATCATGAATGGTAAATCCTAACATTTTTTTTCCTAAGGACTAGGATCAGAACCATTCCCTGAGGTGTATGCTGTGTATTTGAACTGGTTGCCATTACAGCTGTTATCAACTCTGCTTGCATGCAGAGTATAAATTTTTGGACTAAATCTCAGAATATATCTCAGTAGAGGGGAATACAAATAGCTTCATTCATTGCTCTAGAATCCCTGTCCACATGGTATACATGTAGCATTTAAATCTTGTATCACGTGAACAGATCATTGCCAGAATATTCATTATCACTGTAATACATACTCCTCTTGAAATAATCTGTAAGGTGATATCCTTACTATGTTAGTAAAGTAGGGTTATGTGGGGTTGAATTATGAGAGGAATCTAGTCTGTATCTTTCTTCTCTCTTGGACCAATAAATGAGGAATGAAGCTTGCAGTATAGAATAACTGAAGTACTCCTAAATACTGTATTGCAACTCAGCTAATGAAATAGTAATGATTTATCCATCACCATACAGATTATGAAGTTCCATCTCTATCACCTGACATCTCTTTCGGGACAGTGGCTGATGATTTCCATGAAGAAGATGGTGGACATTATCATGCTACTACTAGTAAGATTTACATTTCATAACAATTACATTAAATATAGATTGCATTAAAACTGCTTTGTTCTTCCAGAAGGGCATTCTGGTAAGTGATGAGGTGTACAACATTTCAAGTATTGGAAAGACATTGAAAGACACTACTTTCCAAACTGGTTAAATCAGAAATTAATTTCACTCTCTGGGACAGTGGGAAAAAAAAATCATTTACAGTGTGTTTAATTCAATGCTTATACATGAGCTCAGAAAGATTGTTGCTTTATATTTTCCACTGCTGTTTTATCACACCTGTTTGCTCTCTGAGGCATCACAAATTAGTACAACCAATTATTACTTGAAGTCAATTTATGTCTGAGGTAGAAAAGGACATTTTTGTCAATTTGGGATAAAAGTCTCTGTTATTCTAATATATTTATGGTTGTGAGTGTAGGTAATCTGTGTCAAAAACATGGCCTCGCTAACCAAAGCAATCCTTTATATGGTTCCAATTGCCAAGCCATTTGTGCACTGCAAAAATTAATTTCACCCTTGTTGTTGGCAGTATGCATGAGAGAAAATTGGGGCTCCATTTTTCTCAGCTTTGTCCTTAAATAGCTTTGTTGAATCAGAAAAACTGCTTGTGATGTTTTTATCAAATATGTAATGCATGGCAGCTACAACAAATAAAAAGCTTTTGAAGTCACCTTACACATGTTAAAGTGGAAGTAATGTACATATGTTCACATTAGTTCTTAAGTTTAGAGTGATAAAGATCTTTGCCCCAGAAAATAAAGCGAACCCAAAGGGAGAAGATTTTAATTACACACAGGAAATCTACAGAGGCATGTTGTAGTAAAGATTGAACTGATAGACATGAAAGTTTCTTCCTATTGGCTCTTTTTTTTTTCCCCACGAAGGAAATTCATGAAAGTGAGGAACTTGCTTGATTGTCTGTTGGTTGCTGATAGATGGTCAAAAGGTCTATGTGATTTGGGAGGGTGGTGCCCTCGTCACTGTATTTAGACATGACAGGACAGAGTAAGAATGATCATTTGTTTTACACAGTTAGCAAAAGCCTTGCTAGAAGACATAAATCACTAAAACCAAGCATCTTGTCTCAGAGGATGTGAAGGTTAGTAATAGCTTATAAATATGTAGATAGAAAAAGAAATATTAGGTTGATTTTACCCCAAACCTTGAAAGAAAGTAGAAAATTTTCTGGCGCTTGTTTCAAGCAAAAGCTTTTATTACAAAATATTGCCTGTAAGGGGGTGAGGCGTGGAGGAAATTCCACCTTCTTATGTATTTGCTTTTGTATGCATGCGTGACTTAGTGTTTCCTTGTACGGGTGTTTCTATATGCCCTGCAAAAACCTGTGCATTTTTTCCAGGCAGGAAACTTTCTGTTTTCGTTTTACTACTTGATTATCAAATGTATTGATTCTAGATATATATGTCCCTTTCTGTTGCTAACAGTTCTCTCTCATGAGCATGACTATTTTACAGAGGGAAAACTAGAGGTATTTAAGATTTAAAAAAATCAAAATAACTATAAAGCAATGTAATAAAATATGTCAATACTGATATATGTGTATCACAGAAGTGATGGCATTGGCATCATTGTTTACTGGTTTAGGATTGATAGATTGGTTCTCTGGGAAAAAAAGTTATGAAAGTAGTGCACCTGGGCTTTTCTGATAGATTTAGCAACATCAGCAACATCACTTTAAAACCAAAGAGACTCAGTTAGTTTTATTTTGCTGCATTACAAATGAATCAATAACTTAGCACTCCTTTCAGAAAGAAGTTAAGTATAAGCTGAGCATCTCTGTGAGAAGTCATCAAATATTCAGTAGTGTAGGAGAAAGTTACATGGAGAACAATCAAAAAAAGAAGATGAAGCTGTACTCCAATATCTGCTATTTAGGTTGCATAGCAATGCAGGCTCATTGGAGTATCCAGTTTAATTTCCCAGGGAAAAATCCCACAGACAGGAAAGTAGAAAATTAAGAAATAAGTAAAGAACACTATTTGTCATATATCTTCTGACAGATGGCTAAAAATATATCTATCTAATTCTATAGTGTGTTAAAATGAGAAACAAAACTGATGTCTCTCCATCTATATTACACACCATTTGTAAAGTTAAAGTTTTGTGAAAAGGTATCTGGCTTAATCTAAAGACTTCTTTGCTACGGGTTTGAAATGAACAATATTCACAGCTCCTTGTTTTTCAGACAATACCCTTTTGGTATTTCTCTGGATTTAGACATTGTTGGTGATGTTCTCCATCAAGTTAATGGTCCAGATTAATACAGCACTTAGCCATCAACTTCCTCTCCTGGATGAAAAAAGTTTCTTTGTTAGTAACAAATTATGATTCATCTGTAGGTGTGCCAGGAATCAGATGTAAAATTCTGTTACTGAACAATGAAATACCCTTCTAAGTTATCAGAGCAACCTACTCAAACAGTAACTGTGACTGATTTTGTTCATCCATATGTAATAGACACTTTTATTTCTATTTACATGCCAATACCCATTTGGCTCGCCTAGCACAATGGATGAAAACGCTGTAGATTCCTCTAATTTTTCTGAGCAGAAATCTCTTTCCATCTGAAAATGCCTGTCACAAAACTCTGGAATTGACTATTTGATACGCTCTGATCTGAGAAAATATTGTGCATTGGTCATGTGATAGGAATAAAGCTGCATCTCTCACTCTTCACGCTATGCTGGCGCCTACTCTGAAAAGCGTTTCTGGTGTGGATTTAGCTGACAGCATCAGGCTAAGGGGAGTGCATGTGTCCTTTGAGTGGAATAGCTGCAGTTCTGAGCCCCGGTCTCTGACAGCATTGGCTTCTTGAGGTTCTCAGTAGCAGAGCAGTTTTCTTCTCTGGATGTGCTTATCTGTGGGTCACCTTTTTGCCTGACATGGATACTTCTTTCACCTTTTGTATGTGATTTTATGTCATCTTGGTGGATGTTCCTCATTCTGGAGCCTAAGGCTATCTACTCTCTCCTGCTGTCAAAGCCTGTGAGGAGCTCATTAACCTTATGGCATGTGAAGAGCTAGAGAAAACCCACAGGGCTTTTTGATGTCTCCTCTCAAGGCACTGTGTTCTTTCCTGGGACTGCCAGAAGTGCTTGCATCTAGCGATGTGTTTGAGGAATGTAATGATACCATGGATTCATACATTCGCCTTGCGCTCACATCCGTCTCTGTGGCATGAGGGTGCTCAGGGTGCTGGTGCTAGTGGACTTGACTGTCGTGGAGGAAAAGTGCTTCTCAAGAAATAATAACAAGATCTTGGTTAAATGGGCAATGTCCTAACAGCTCCAGGGCCTCGTCACGACGACCTAGAGAAAACCACCACCCAAACTTGGTGGAATCTGTTTCCAGACCACTGGTGGTGGTCAAATCCTGGAGAGAAGACGCACGAAGTCACACAGGCAACCAAGGGTAAAGAATGTCATGCTAAGAGGGCATTTTGATTAGGGGCTGAAAAGGACAGAGTATGGTTAATGCTGTGAGTGTGCAAAGGGTTCCACACTGGGGAACTTCAACAGGGCCATGGCAAAGTGGTGCATCCCTTCTGAGTGAAAAGGCCAGGAGTGATTTGGGCCATGGGAAGCACAGTTCTGTATATCCTCCTCTGTAATTGTAAGGCTGCATGCAGGGGAGGCAAAAAAGCCTAACTGCTGCCAGCAGAAGGCCTTGTGAGTTAGGGCTTCATGGCAGATTTAACATCACCACAGCAGATGTGACCTCCAGTGGCAATGGTTCAGATGATGAAGACTCTTCAGAGGAGACGATGTACCCAACACTGTTTCCTAGCTGGAGCAGGAATGTGGCCAAGGACAAGACTGCTACAAGTACGAGTAAGGAACTTGCTTTCTCTTTGGATGGTTTTTCCTTCTTCTTTTTCCTTTCACACTTGATGTTCCTCCTCCTTTGCCACATACATATTATGTGAAATTTGGATGATCTCCTCATCATCTGTTCCTTCAGAAATATCTCTTTTGTGATTGGAAAAATTATCTGTGGTCCATATTGATAAAAGTTATGTCTCTTCTATCACTACTTAAAATTACCACCTTATTTTCATACCTATTCAAATGTTTTCATTCACTTATGCTTTTCCAAGAAGAAAAAAGCTTATCTTTCTTTCTATTAATTTTTTTGAAGTGTTAAAGTAATTCTAGTTCATGCTATAGGTAATCTACAACTATTTAATACCAGACTTCCTGTCTGTGGAAGGAGTTGTTCAGGCATAATTTGAGGAGTCCAAACCCTAAGTGCCTTTTTCATTGGGAATTGTCAGTAAAACAGTCTCATATTTGCTCCCTTCTACACTCTTCTCATGCAGTCTTCTAACATTACCTCATTTATTTTGTGACCTCAGATGTCTAGGCATGATCCAACACAACAATTGAGGTATTTTAATACATAGCTTTATTTTCCTGATACGAATAGTCCCGCAGTCATCATCTGATAACTCTTTTTAAATTCAAAAGCCATCCATACCTGAAATAATTTTTTTCTGAAAACCAGAAAACCACCACATGTGAAGATCAAAGCCAAATGCTGCGTGTCACTAAAGCACACATCTGGTACTTGACTTTAAGACCAGAGAACGGCCCCAACCCAGAGGGGTTTTTTAACATAGAAGTTGCCATTGATGACTATACTCTAGTGCTCTTATTTGTACAAAAATAACAGTCTGTTCTGTTTCTGTAATTTTATTTAATTTAAGTACATCTTAATGTATCTGTTGTCTGTGCTCTTATTTACTCAACAGTGTTTATAGATCACTGTTTATAAGCATTTGATTTTTCTGGAGATAGTTTAGTATTTGCATTTTTTCAGCAGTGGTCTTTGTCATTAGAAGAAATTACAAAATCATCAAATCATCTTGCTTTGGGGCTTTTTATTCTTTTGCCTATGTTTTGGGTATTTCTGCTGTTAAGTTATTTATCTTTGAGGCTCTGCATTGGTAACTTATTCCACTGGTGTATTGCACTCCAAATACTTTCTATGGCCTAGCGGTGTCTGCACGCTACATGGGTGAAAATGTATACAGTCTCTGATCATAGACCGTTGTGGAAGTTTTATTTTATCTTTTTAATTTTATTATAACTTTCTTGACTAATATTGGTGACCTGCTGGTTGTCAAGGCGCTATCAGTTTTTTACCGTTCTTCGCTTTTGAGCTCAGTGCTGGATATTCTAACATCGTACTTTTTGAGTACTTCTTGGGTACTTAGCAAGCATGTTTTGCATGTATTGAGAAATCTACCATGTTCCTTAGGTCCAGCATTATTCTTCAAACATGAGTTTAAATGTCTATAACTGCTGTAATGGTTTTGCGTTACTTCTGCTATACATTATTCTTCTATTGCTTGTTTTCCCCATTCCTCTTGAGAAAATTTGCATCTATCCAATGCAAAGAAAAGAAGAACTGGTTTGATGTAAAGGGCTTTGATAAAAAGAGTAGAGAGGCTATAGTTAGGATGTGCATGAATTTCCATTTTCCATCACCTTTATGGCACACATGAACAGTGGTAGACTTAGAGCATAGTCAGCATTCAATCCTCCATTGTCCCAACAGCTGTGGACTCACAACACGAAACGCTTCCGGAAATCTCCACACAAGATCATTGGAATCCCACCTTCACAGATGAAGAGGAGCAGTATCCTAGCTCTTCTAGCAGGGGTAAAGCAATCAAGCATTTCAGATAATAGTTAGATTTGTGACTTAAATGTAACACTCATGGTGCAGCTGTTCATAATTCCCATACCATTAGCCTCAGTTTAGTGTAATGCCTTTACATTATTTGTGCTAGAGCCCTCAGAGGTGGCATCTCTCTGTTGTTCCAAGTCTATCTTTTGCATCTAAAGTTAGTTAATTGCCACTTTTCCTCACATTTCTGGTATTTTTAGATTTGCACTACCAGTAGTAAAATAGAACTGAGCAGACTGTAACTTCTGGTGACCCGCCTTGGTGAGAAAAAAAAAATCCCTTTTTCCATTTCAAAATTTTCAATTGTAAAATCTGAAGACAAAAGATAAAAAAGGGAGCTAGTGTTTCAAAATCATGAAATTTTCCTACAAAAATCATCCTCCAGATGAATGTGAACATTTTGCTATCAGTGCTAGTACCAGTAGCCTACTGAGATACCAAAGCATTCAAAGCTAGAAGCTTCTGTAGGCAAAGGCTTACAAAGTGCATTCTCAAGCTATTTTTGCTGTGCCTTTCTGGTTCTGAGCTTGTTTTGAACAGCGAAGGTTTATACAATTGTCATTAGAACAAGATTTGTAATCACCCAGAAATAATTTTTGTGGTAACTTTCTTTTATTTGTGATGTAATTTTAGATCAGTTGTAGTCATACATTAGTTAATATTAACTCTTTTTTTATAAGATGATACAGATGTATTAGGTTTAATTTTCATGAGTGGTCTCTATATGAATATTTCATTGCCTGAATGTGAAAATAAATATTCCTTCAGTTTTTCTCATTTTGGGAAGTAGCATAGGTTTCTCTAGCTGGTTTCTTAGCATATATAACAAGTCCAGCTCATTCTTTGCATGCTCTGATTAAGGACCTTTGCTTTACTTTTAATATATCACTCAACAGAAATGTTTGATACCTAAGGCAAATATATTTCTAGCTGAGTTCTAGTGCTCATCCTAGGTTTTTCTGATGTATCTTTTCCAAACCTGTCAATACTCAATAGAAAACCTCTTATGGTGGTGGTACTTCAGCTGCTTTCTGGCTGCGTCTTATGCTGTGTAAGCAAGAGCAAATTAAAGAGTGAGCAATTAATTTATTTTATTGGTAAGAACTTTAATTATTATTGAGTTCAAAATAAGTGTGCTTATCAACTTCGAATATATGAACCTACTTATTTCATCTTTCCAGTCTCAGAAGAAATTACAATTTCCTTTGAGCCAGCTTTGTAATTGTGTAATTGAGACATTAACTCAAAAGAGAAAGTTCATCCACTTTTTCACTGTAAAAACCCAGAATATGCAAACTCAGCAGTTAAGTCAATATTAATGAGTATGAAATAGAGGTGTAAGCTGTTGTTTCTGTGTGCTCTTCTGCTGCTTCTCCAATATCTTTTCTCTTCCACTGGTCATTCGGATACTTTCCAGCCCACCTAAATCTTCTTCTGATCCTGGTGATGGTTTTGTGTCATAGGGTTTCCAAAGGACTTCTTTTTCTTTCATCTTTCATTTCACATCAAATGCAACAACAAGAAAAAGCCAAAACACAAAAGCCAGGCACCTTTGCTATTAAACCATGATATGAGAATAATATGATTGATGATGGGTATTTTGATCATTATTGATTCAATCATCATCTTATCAGCACTAGTTACCAGTGAAAATGAAAAACATCAAGGACCAACCCAACATCCACTATCATACAGCATTCATTCTGGAGGGATCAGTCAAGAACAAAATCCTGCAAATACCACAGCGAGTATTGAACAACATGAATTTACTGTTGCAGGTGAAAATTATTTTGAAAAGGAATCTTCTCATACAGGTAATATTACAGGTTACATTTTAGTAAATTACCAAGTCTTTCTAAAGGTTTACTTTTAGGATTTTTTTTACTAATATTTTTGCATTCTGAGGCCATAGGAGAGATTCTGTGAATACCCCTGAGCAATTCTGATGTTATATTATTTTTAATTATTAAAAAATAATTTTAATTTTTAATTATTCTTCAGACCTGTCCCTGGGTGTTTTTTTCTCTTCTATTTGGCTTGCAGGTCAAGACCTTTAGTATTGTAACCTTCCATAACTGTCTCCTACATTTTGTGTTGTGTCTCATGCAGTCACAAGCTTTTAACAAGCTGTCTACCAGGGTTTTATCTGTAGGAAACAGAGAAGGTTTAATAATGTCTGTTGTATACTTCATTCACTGGGACCTGTGTTCACTCCCCTGTTGCAAGTCATTATCGGACCCAGGATTTCTTTTTTCAGTTTTTGTTAATATGGCAATTATATCTAAAAAAAAATTATCTAAAATGTCTACTCTCCTCACTTTTGAACTATGACAGTATGATACTGGTGATGAAGGGAAGAAAACAAAGCACAACGTAGAATAAGAAAGAGGCTTCTCTCTTCCATTCATTGAATGAATTGAAACATAAAAGACCAAATTATGCCTTAAAGCTAGTAACTGAAAATTGGCATATATTAGTTTCTGTTCCTGTGAGTGTACCAAGCTTACTAGTTAATTACAGATGTGCTGCCAATAGTCATCTACTCTTGCAAATTATTAAATACAGGTCTCTGAAGAGAAGTGTATCACAAACATAATTTAGATGCTGTTTCTGTTAATTCAACTGAATTTAATCTTATTAGCAAAAGTTTTGTGTAGGCTACTGTTTCAGTAGTGCCTAAGTCCACATTCCTCCAAGATATCAAGCCCAGATATGTCATCACCGTCCTTAAAAAATCTGGTGATGCAGTACAATGCAATATGAGATAGAGATATATATGTAAACACCGTACTGTGCCATACTTTACCACACTACACTGCACTATAGTACACTACGCTACGTTATACTACACTACTATAGCAATATGTAATGGCCTAGTTGCAATTCAAATTGTAACACACTGTGGCAAATTTCTTATTGTGTTGAAGGGGCTAAGGAGGGTTATACTTCCTATGCGATTCGGGTACTCTTTTGCTATAACTATCTAAAAAAACCTACAGATTGGTTGATATGGATAAGTTTTTTCTGAATAACTGCAATATCAAATATTCTCCAGTTGAATGCTGCCTTATCTAGGGTGTGCACTGTTCACAAATCTGTAGCATGTGCTAGCATTCCCCTCTGTCATACTTCCTTGTCTATTTTCCTGAAGATGCTGCAACTAATAAAACAGTGAATTTTCCAGGGGGAAAAATTGGATCTAGTCAATGCACTCAAATTCTGTGCTTAAAATCTTACTGATGGGTCATATCCTTGCATTTGTTTCTGCCTTTAAGGTTCTTAATTCTGAATCAGTGGATATCAGTTTGATATTCAACCAAAACAAAGTCAACAGCAAGATTCAGAGAAATACTTTCGAAAAACAATAAGATACCTTGATTCTGAAAAGCATATGTTTGGTTTGAGGAAGGAGTTGGTCCTACTGATGAGAGTAGGCAGCTTTTCTAAACATAAACCAGGATGAGAAGCAAATCTGCTTTACTTCTCTTTGCCATTAAATGTAGTAGACATGTGAGCAAGGCCTGTCATAGAGACAAGAACCGAAGAGGAGAATAATATGAGAAATGGATCTTTATATACTGAGTTCATAATTGCTTCACCATCATCATAACAGCTATGGTCTCCACCCATGGGGCCAAACAGAACGACTCCATGCAAGACCCATGGGTATATCCAGGTTGGGACAACGGAGAGGACTATGCAACACGGCCTTCTATAATGGATAGAACTATTCCTTCCAGAGGCAATAATCATGAGAAAGACTCTTCCACTACAGGTACTACTAATAATGTCAGTTATGTATACTGCATCACTTCTGTCTCTCAGATGGCCTGCATAAACTTGTAGACAGGGGTAATTACTAATCTCTTAAAATAACAGCATAAATTGTAGAAAGACTAGTTTTCTCTGTGCTCCATCTGGATGGTGGTGAGATGAAAGTTTTCTATTTTAGCTCTGTATAAAACATTTGTTCTTTCCTTGCCAACACCACTTTCAGTACTTTCCATTCCTTGGTGAAGCATGGCTATGAAATTGCATCCAAATCATTACATAAGTTATATTACTTTGTGTTGCCAAACTATCTTTATCTTAAAGTTGAATTCATACTTATGTATATTTGTATATCAACAGGTTATTGCATTTATTTGTGAATATTCATCTGGGGAAACAGTGTTCTTTTCACAGATTTTATCAAAATATTTGTCCCTCTGATTTACAGAATGATGGGAGAAACAAATTTAAAAAACTGACATGACAAAATATCATGATGCAATCTCATATAACATACTATTCATAACATTAAAATAATGTGCTAAAAACATGATATGGTCTCTTCTTCTGAAGACTGTCACTGAGATCTTTACATGTAGCCAGTGTCTTGCTCCAACATGGTGAGCAGAGATGTGATGCTTAATGATCTCTCAGAAGCCAGTGACAGGGTAGAAGAAGAAGGAGAGGCCTTCCTGTCTTCTCCCCTCCCTCTATGCTTTGAATGAGGAAGGTGGACGTGCTTTCTGGCTTGCTGTG